AGAGAGAGAGAGAGAGAGAGAGAGAGAGAGAGAGAGAGAGAGAGAGAGAGAAACACACGCGGTGACAAATTCATCAAGCGACAAATTTACGCTAATATCATACAACGTCACGCATGCTGCCTCCATAGACTTATATATAAAACAACCTAGATAGCAGACTAATGGTTAGACAACCGGACTCGTAATCGTGAGGTTGCTGGTTCGGGGGTTCGAGCCGCGGGCCCAACGTTGTGTCCTTGGGAAAGGCACTCTACACGAATTTTCCTCACTTCACCCAGGCGGGAATGGGTACCCGGCCACAGACAGCGAAAGATCTTGTCAGTATGTTAGTGTTTTAGCGTCTATAAATGGCCGCTTGTACTGTATGCTTCCCTGGAAGTTGAGGTTGTTTCAGACTGCTCTCAGGTCTGCTGGGGTAATAATATATAGATTGTGAAGCGCTTAGAGCTTGCTGTTGAGCGGGGATTTGCGCTATACAAATGCTATCTATTATCTTTACACTCTGACGTAATTACTGTCATTAATCTTAGTAAAATAAAGAGTGAAGGAGGGAAATGTGCCAAACGAACTCAACTATAACAAGATCGGTGTTTGGCCGTTGATTTGGGTGAAATAGCGCGGTCCATAGTGCTCACCTTGTAATTGAAAAAGTTTTAAGCCCCCACCGACACTATTCAGATCATTATTATAGGAAGCAGGGCTCGACTCTGCCTATCACGGCCAACACGGGGCTGAGAGGGATACAATATCAAATCAACTGAAAGATAGGGGTATTAGATGAAATTTCTTTTCCCATTCGGGAATCGAACTGGGGTCTCCTGCTTGCGACAGTGAAGCGCCTGACTGCTACACCACACCACAGACGCCATTGGTGCTCACATTTCCAAGCGATGGTGATGTGTTTTGTTTTTATAAATAAGGCAGATCCTGACCTTTCCCGCAGCCTTTCTGCTGCTACTCCTTGGCTCCTTTTTACTGCTGTCTTTCAGCCACACCTTTCAGCCACACCCCTGATCTTCTGGTAGGAAAAGATCTACACCTAGCCTTCTCGGACAAGGGCGAAACGTCTCGGAGGGCCCGTGTGCAAGTTGCGCACGTTAAAGATCCCTTGGTGGTCCAAAATCGATAAGAGTAGGCTTCGGCCGCCATCCGAGCAAAATTCAAAATTTCCTACCAACTGAAAAAGTTTAATGTGTCCCGCGCGCTCACATGACCTTATGCAGTTGCAAACACCATAATACACTAACCAAAAAACATATATATAAAAAATAAGGCAGCCGTCGTCCATGACAGTGAGCAGTCTAGATCTACACGTATACGTCGATGGCTGTGTCCTGTCCTATAAGCTCATGAATACCATGAACAGGGTACAGTTTCTCCAACAGCCCACTCGTACAAGCATCATTTTCTCTTCTCGTCTGCTATGAGTATCAGTATCATCGTTCTCCAATTCATCTTCTACCTTTGCAGTGCAGATTATATTACACTGAACTGTTAATTTGATGACTAGGTGTTAGACATTTTATACAGTGCAGGTATTTGATCTCTCTCTCTCTCTCTCTCTCTCTCTCTCTCTCTCTCTCTCTCTCTCTCTCTCTCTCTCTG